GCTATGAAAGTGAACCTAAAAACTTAAGTTGTTTCCAGAAAGCAAAACAATTAGCTGGAACTCCTTAAAAAGCCTTAGGGAAGCTGCACATGGTACCAAGCCAATTACACTTTTTGTTTTATTTTTATTAGACATGTAAAACAGATTTGGCTTTTAAAAAAATTGAACAGCCCTTTTGCTGTTTTGGTAGTGTAAAATAAATCAAACTCCCTTCTTTTAAGGACAAGGTAAAATCTATAACTATACAATTACAGAGAGGAGGTAGGTACAAATATTTTAATTTTCCATCAGAAAGTCATAAAAAAACTAAAAGTTACATATTGACATGCGTGGTAAATTGATATTAAAATTATTTAGTGATCTCTGTAACGTTGACATTTTCACTTATGGTTTTACAGTTGATAGCTATTGTTTGACTGTATAACTGAAAAATCCGCAATAGCTAGTTAACATTTAATAAAATGTATTGATACTATTTGGTTAAAGTAAATAATACTGTAAAAACAAGGTTTCATTTGTTGGCTATCATTAAAATGTTCATCATCCACTGTTACATGACACAGTGTGGAGAAGAAATATGGTTGTGCAATAAAACCATTATTAAAAGTGGTAAATTTTAATAACGCATATAAAAAAGAGAAATGTTCAAATTTAAGAGTTGATAGAAGGAGATCTAACCGCCTCGCCTCCCTCTTCCTCCTCCTCTCCTTGCTCCTCCTCTCCCTGGGTGAGGGGCTCTCTGTCCGACTCCCCCTCCGCCTGCTGCGACTTCTTGGTTGTCTTGTTCAGGGTCCCGCCCTGCAGGTAAACAAATTTTTACTGAGCACATTGTATCCTGTGGTGAAGATGGCTGGCAATATACACACACAGTACAAATAGAGACCGATGAACAGGCTGTGTGTCTGACCTGTCTGCGGTCGACAACGTTGAGCACCACTGAGGTGACGATGCAGCCGATGGTGTTGGCCAACATGAAGATCATCATCCTCTGCCAGCGCCACAGAGGTATTTTAGTTTCACTGGAAAGGAAAAGAGCAGCTAAGTTAAAATGCAGAAAGGACAATGAAGTGGTCTACCAATATGTTCCTGATCTCAAGTAATTCCTACCTCGACTTGGAGCCCAAAATCTGCCCAACGACCAGATTGGATACACCGATCCCGACCATCTGTACGGAGGTGGCCAGACCCATGGCTGTTCCCAGAGTCGCCTGAGGCACCACGAGGGGGATCGACGGCCACATGCTGGCCTGGAAAACAGCACAGATTGTCATTTAATTTTTGTTGGATTTATTTCTAGGTTTTGTTGTTAGCTTAGTCCTTTCTTATTACTGTTTTGTTCTTTTCTGTTTTGTCCTTAAGTTGAGGAAAGTCCATTGTTTAAACCAGTGGCTCCCGATACATTTCTTCTTTGTTTTCTTGGGATTGGATATGGTCATGTGTGCTCAAAAAATAAACAAAACCTGAGAAACAAAATGTTTTTCACAAGAAAAATCTCTGCTTTGAGAAGATTAAGCTTTGAGAAGACAATCAATTACTAACATAAACTGGCCGCCACTATAATTTGCAATAATTTCTTTTGAGGTAAACTCACAGCAGCGAATGAGTAGGTGACTCCGAGCCATATAGTGGAGACCAGAGGAGGGACAAAGGTGAAGGCCAGCAGTCCGAACACAGGCAGCGTGAAGATGGCACAGGCCAGAGCAAAAATGCCCCGCAGACCCACAAAATCCTGGAAGAAAAACACAAGAGCCTCTTGTTTTATGTTGCTTTTTATGACAGACTTGTACCAGGCTAAGGTTACAGATACTTACTATGAGGATGCCCACGCTGGCTGAGAGGACCAGTGAGCTGTCATAAACAGCGCCGGCGATATAAGCCGCCTCCTTCTGACTGTAGCCATCGTACTTATCCTGAATGAATTTACTGGACAGGTAGAAAAACAGCTGTTTGTTAAATTAGTTTACAGCATACTGGCATTCAAAACCCATTTTAAATCTGAGAAACATGCATGTGTGTGTGTGTGTGTGTGTGTGTGTGTGTGTTGACATCTCTACCTGGCATCTGCAATGAACGGGAAGATGCCGTTATAGAAGAACATGATGGTGAGAACCAGCAGCCAATATCTTAGAGACAGGAGCTTCACATCCTGAATCCTCTACACATACACAGAAACACACATTACTTAGGAGTTAATGAACATTCAAAATGTGTACTTGGTGTGGAAAGCACGTTTTTTTGTTAAAATATATTGTTCGTACCACTTTGCGGGACTCCTCTTGGATGGCGCCATCAAGTCCCAGCTGCTTCATTCCTATCTTATCCAGGGCGCTGACAAGGATGGCGGAAACAAAGCCCAGCACACACAGGAGTGTACCTAGAAAGCATGAGAAAAATACTCTTACTTAAGCACTGTGTTATTATTCACTCAGGTCATAAACATGGTGTTTATATCCCCTTGTTTTATTAGTACCTACCACCCCAGAGTGTCCACTGCATGCCATATTGTTCCTCAAACTTCTGTGTGAGGAAGAAGTTCAGGACTGAGCCGAGGCGAGAGAAAGCCAGCGTCAGACCGAACGCCAGGGCCAGCTCCTTCCCTCTGAACCAGAACGCTGTGATGCGGTTCTGAACAACTGATGAAGACAAGAAGAGCAGTTTAATAGGAACAGTCCTCTGAGTTGAAATCCAGAAAGAGTATGATTGTGACTTTAGGAAATTGGCCTTACTGGTCAGAGATCCATTTCCTGATCCAAACAGCAGTCGGCCTGTGAGCATCAGTGGCAGCAGATAGGGGGTTCCCTTGAAGTGGGAACCCAATGCAAACAGTGAAGAGCCCAAAACACACAGGAAGGAGAACAGAAATACTCCAACTGCAGAGAGGACGAAAAGGGAATGAATTCACCGTGAGTTACCATAAAGTTATATCATTATCAGTTATAGATTTAGCAGATATTTGTTGATGTAATGGCAATTGTAATGGTCCAATGTCCTATATCCTTTTGCCATTACTTCACAGGAGGGCTGGAGAGTGATCCAGACGCAGACACAAAAGGATTTCCGGTCCTTTGGTGCAGTTGATAATGATGTTTATTTAGCGTTTTACACACCAAGGTTTAATTATACAGTTTAATGGTTGTGGTGAGCATCTGCCGGGCTGGTGGAATCGGTATGCTCTTTCCTCCTGTGTCCTCGTCACCTATGACCCTTTTTATACACCCAGTGCAGCTAACCCCCGCCACCAAGTGTCCAAAATAATATTGCAGTATAAATATAAATAAAGTAAACTGACACACCAACAACACCCATACAATGGCTCCTACAGTTGACTTACAGCGGTTTCCTAGTTTGTCAATCAGGAAGCCGGCCATGATCACAACGACTGCATTCCTGTTGATAGGAGACAAAATAATCCATTGTAGTTTTCTGATAAGCCACTCAGCAGTGTAATACAGTAGGGTCAATGTGCATGTGAACTTACGTCCAAGCGTAGATGGCGTAAAGAAGATTGTACTGCTGAGGGTTCATCCCCAGTCCCTCCACACAGTCCACTGTGCCGTTGATCACCGTCGCATTGGAACATGTCAGGTTCTGTCAGATGAGTGGAAGCCAGTGATTTAGTTATAATCATACTAGCCACAAACGAAGGACAGACTTCGTCATTAGTACTACAATGATCCTGTTGAGTTCATTTGGGGAAATCATCCTTTAATACTGATTATATCTTTTAGACCTATTGCTTACCCCCTGGAACTGATCCTGTAAAACACTGGGGATGTCGAAGCAGAAGTAGGAGCCAAATGTCAGCAGACAGTTGAAAAACAGCACCAAAAAGCGGTAATACGCTGTAAAGAAATAACAAGAATAATGTATTATTGTTTATTTTAACGTAAGAGTCAAACTTCAATTGCAATGAACGCAAATGCAACATCCTAGTTTACTACTGCTTCTTTTTTTAATCTCACCTGAAATTAATATACAATATATATATTCCAACCAAGCTTCAATACATCTCTTATTAATTGTGTTTTTTGAAGACAGTGCTTTTGAAGATTAAAGCTACCCTCCAAACATATTTAAAAAGTATTCTGCTTCGAATAATAACTAGTTCAAGTATTTCGCACAGAAAAAGGGGAATCCTCCAGGTAGTTTAAGAATCTATTAATGATGTATAGTGATTGAAGGACACACATTCAAGTGAAGCAACAATAAGAAGTGCATTTAGTGGAAGGAGGCTTTAGGAAAAATCTGGTATTGTACATTTCCTTTAACTCAGCCCAATGGGGATTTGGTGTTTACTTCACTGAGAAAACAAACTGTGTAAAACAACTGCAGCATTAGCTTGAATTAGCTTCAAATTGTTTGTAGTATGCCCATGAGGAAGCAAAACGTTTTTGCTGACCTCACGGTTTTGGCAACTTCCAGATGAATCACATGCGTTTTAGCAGAAAGTGCTGAGTTGTTGTTCCAGTGGCCCAGATTTTCATTAGGGAGGGTTACGACAGAAGTCTGGTCACTGGGTTATGCTGAATGTGGCTATTCTTTGGAAAGTAAAACTATAGACAGACGTACCTTTCTCCGCCGGCTGCGCCATGGTGAGCAAAAAGTGAAATGGTTATAAAATAAAACTTCCAAATCACATTCTTCAGTGTTGTTTACATGAGCAGCTGGTTAGAAAGCTTTAAAACTCTTCTTCGTGGAATTCAGCAGACTAGACGCTGTAATGGCGCCCTCTAACGTTACTGTTAGTTATCCTAAAGTCCAAAATATAGTCCACAACTTTGCAGATATTAGGTCAGTTTTCTTATTTGTAGTCCAGTTTTCCAGGTTTTGTAATGTTCAAAGAGTAAAAACAATTTCTCCAGTTACTTCCAGGTCTCTGCTCAACCTCCTCTGAAGAGAGTCATTCTTGCACAGGATGAGATAAGTCTCCTCTACACATCAGGGTGTTTCCCTATCAGAGCCAGCCCCCTCTAACATACAATGCCCCCTCCTAAAGTACTGTGAACCTTTGCATATCCCTTTGTAAATATTGCACGTTTTTGCCCACCAACATTACTATTCAGAATGCACAGCTCTCCCACTTTTAATTCGATATTGAGTGAATTGTCCAACACTTTTTTTGCTGATTGTAATGTTTCACTTTCTTGAACACAATTTCTGATTTCTATGTACTTTATCAAATTATTTTGGATGCACAAATAACATCAATTCAGTATTTTTCTTTGTAAAACAAAATCCCTCTTTCGACCTCCCTAATTAAAATGTCCAATTGTTCCAATCATAAACCTTAATGGAATACAAATTATAAACCTCAAGCATCAAATTAACTACTATTGGCTACAACTGTAGTCTGAATTTGCATATATATTATAAAACAACAACTGCATCCATTATATATTCAGGTTATATATATTAAATAAATATTTTAGCCAAATAATAGCCAACTGTGCTACAAAACTGTCATCCCGATCATTCACTCAGTGTTTTATCTTTGGGTTATGAGATTTAATCCAATCAAACGAATAACGTTAAATGTATCAACCATAGACAGCTAGTGCCTCTCCTGTCTTTCGTTGTTTTCGACCAAAGACAAAACACTTTCCCCAATAATTTATTCATAAAAACTCGAATATAGGAAGCGCGTTTTCTCTCTTTTGTCCCTCAGCGCACACCGTCGAGTTTATACTCGCTGAAAGGGGTTACATAATGCGTTCAAGGAATTTAGCAGATTTTTGATTATGTTTTAAACATGCGAAATGTCTGTGTTGCGCAGAGCTAAAACATGGGAAGTATCTGACTCCGAGGACAGCGACGCTGAGAAAAAAACATTGAAAAAACATGATTCAAACCTCGATGAGAGAAGTCAAACAATAACAGTGAGCGAAGAAGATGAGGCTCCAGACAACAAAGTCAACACCCTCCAATCTTCACCCATACAAACAGAGCCCCGTCAGACTTCAGCTTTGTCTCCTCCACGACAACATGCAACCCCGAGTCCTGCAAGAAAACGCCGCAACAAAGAGGAGGTGGAGGCGGACAGAGAGGCAGCTAGGGAGAGGAGGGAGGAGAGGGAGAGGGTGAGGACAGCCAGGACCCGGGAGAAGGAGGAGAGGAAGCAGGAGCAGCAGAGGAGGAGAGAGGCGGCAGAGAACCTGAAGAGTCTCCGGCCCGAAAACTGCCTCAAGAGTCTGACAGTGCGCATAGATCCAGGTACACCGTGCTGCCTTCAGGTGCTGTGGGAATTCATTTTTCCGTCGATTATATTGGGACTGCTGTTCAACAGTGAAGACAGTTTGATAACTTTTTTATAATTGATGCTTCAAAATACATATAGGCCTATAGCAATACTGATATATATATAAACAAATAATTATATTATGATTACAATTATTACTAAACTTTTTTGCTAAAAGTCAGTCCAAATACCACATACATATTGCAATATAAAGGTATTTTATTATGCTGAAATGTTTGTTTGTTTCAATAAATATAAAAGTGCAGTCTGTCTTTAATTCAAAAATAAATGTATTAAGGAAAAATGTGCTTTATTTAGTGCTATTTCTTTATTTGTTTTCTTTTAATCAGTTCCATTATCAAATATTGTGCATTTTGTTGTTCTCAGTTTAGCTTTTTATCATCTACTTCTGTGGGTACTCTTAGTAATCTAATAATAATAATAATATGTATTTACAACCTACAAGCATCAAGGTGGAAGCCAACAAGGACCAAGCATTGGACCATGTTGTTATTTTCACAAAGAGAACAGGCTAAAATGCTGATATACCTATAACCTTGTGTGTGTGCTATATTCCAGCTCTTCTGCAAGACGGTGGCTCAGACATCTTGCTGGACACCCTGGCTACCTTTGATTGGAGGTTCAGCATTGAGAGCCATCAGCTCCCACACAGCATCACCTGGACGAGAGATTTACCTCAGGTTACCCCCCTCTCTCTGTACTTAAATATTCTTACAATCTCTGCTTTCTGCAGTGTGATCATTACTGCTCTGTCTATAGCAGGGAGAAGACAGCTTACTGGAGGAGGAGCAAGTGGTTCTGGTGCTGGGTCTGACAGACTTCATGGACACGGTGGTCTCTGTGAAGAAAGTGAGCAACCTTTGAAGTTGAAATATTTAACTTTGATGGCAACATACATGCTGACCCTCCTCTATATTATTTTGTTGTCACGGCAGATGCTTGACAGTAACGAGGAGCAGACAGGGGCAGGGTCTTTCCTCTCTCCAATTTTGGAGTGTCTCAACAGGGATGCCAAAAAGGTGGTCACCCTCTTAGTGACAGACCCTCAGCAGGATTACAGGTAAGTGTACGTCAATAGGACCTCTTATAGACAGACACAATCATTAACTTTCTTATATGCTAATTGTATTACTCTCTGGTGAGATAACACACATATTCTGTGTTGGCTTTCATGCCCACATTGTGACTTGAATTGTTGGTTTGCTTACCAATAGGGCTGATGCAGTCCCTTTACTGGATGAGACTCTACAATCCAAACTGGGGATGGAGAACTTGGACGTGGAGGAGGTCAATTTACTTTAAATCTGATGAAGTCAATCTTGCATGTTCTTTTTGCAACCTAGTTGTATAGTTTAGAAGGTAAAAATCAGCAAAAATGTACATATAACTGATTTGCACACTGCACACTTAATACTGCTGTTATTTTTCTCCAGGTTCTCGTGTACCTGCAACTCTGCAAGAATATCTCTCTGGTCTTCCTTGATGGCTGGCAGGAAGTCACCAACCATGTGTGTGCCGTCACTAAGGCCTTATCAAAACGCCCTTTCAAGTAGGCAGCCACTCGAGTCATTTCCATAATAAAAGAGAAGGAACATTCCCCTGTTAAGATGTCTTTCCATGTCTTTCCAGACTGCTGACGGAGCTGCCCTTCTGTGTGGACGGTTCCTGGGCCAGCGGGGTCCGGGTGGAGAGGGACGGCTCGGGGCTGATCCAGGTGTGGAGCAGGCAGGTCCAGCAGCTGAACAGAGTCAGCCCCACCGTGGCCTCCACTGTGATCGCTGCCTACCCGTCTCCTCAGCTGCTGCTGCAGGTACAGCTGCCTCAGGGTGGTGCTGTAGAGCTCAGTGCATAGAGGACACTGCTGCCAGCGTTCTATTGCTTTGACAATATACTTTTAGCATTCACTGGTAGGTTTTGAACCGATTTAAGTTAATGAATGCAATAAGATCATAGACTTTAAACCAATACTTCATCCACAAAGCCATTATTTGTAAATGTAATTATCACCTTGTGGAATTGTTGAAGATGCTGTTTCTTGCATGGTGAACAAAGAATTCAAAAACAGAGAAAAATCTTGATGATTTGAAGTAAATACGGTCTGCTGTTAACGACAGCAAAACTATATCAAAACCTCTGTTTGCAAACCTCTCACAAAAGTTGTACAGCCTAATCCAAGACTCATTTATCCAGTTGTTTGCTCACTTTGTTCCAAACACATAGCATTTAAAATGTACAGTCTTACGCTGTGTGGCCCAAGTGTTTTAAATAGCAAGGATTTTAGCTAAATGTGCTGAGAGGATGACTGGATAAATGAGACTTAGATTATACTCCACAAGTTGCGTATATATTTTATACTAAAATTGAGTTCAGGAAATTACAAATACAAACATGTACATTCTCTATGTTGTTTTTTAGGCGTACCAGAGCTTGGATTCAGAGGAGGACAGAAAGAGTCTGCTGGCTGGTCTCTTGGTGAAGAGCGGAGGTAAAGAGAGACGTATCGGCCCAGAGATATCGGCCAGAGTTTACCGCTGCCTCACAGCCCAGAACCCCCAGCTGGTCCTGGACTGATCTACTTGAAAACGTTAGCGAGGATTAAATCCGGCTCTGATTTCACGTTGTCACCACTTGGCTGCTAATGTGTTCATGTTGATGTTTACAAGCTACAAATATGCCTTAGATATCATGTGCACCTTATTATTTATACTTCAACAGATTTAAGCAGCATTATGTTTCGTAAAATATGGAAGAAAATCATGTGTAAACATTATTCTGTTTACATGCAAGATGTAATGTCAAAGGGACATTATACTACATGATATGTTTTGTTTGTGTGAAATGGCTTATAAAAAATTGTGGCAACCAAACTTCATTTGTTATAGTTTTAAATAATTTCTTGAGTAATGGACTGTACTTATATAGCGCTTTATCCAGTCTTTAAGACCCCTCAAAGCGCTTTACATACTACATGTCGTTCACCCATCCACACAGAGCAGTGTATGTTACTCTAGGAACTAACATTCACACACCGTTGGCCATCGGGAACAACTGAGGGTTAAGTATCTTGCCCAAGGATACATCGATATGTTGACTGCATGGGCTGAGATCGAACCCACAACCTTCTGGTTGAAAGACGACCGCACTCCCTCGCAGCCACAGTCGTGAGTAAGAAAGTTAATAAACAAACTGTAAATAGAAAAGCAAATTCTCTTGTAAAGCAAAAACACATCCACCGTTGATATTCAATCAAAATGCTGATACAAAACACATTTACAAAAAGTCATTTCCACAGTATCAAAAAGCCGTTTCCCCGGAGTATTCCCCAGAGAACAACAAGTGTACACTTTCACATTATTCTTAGTCAGATGGTAAAACATTGGGCCTTCCATAAAGTAATTTAAGATTATTATTATAAATGTGTATTATTAATGATTATTATTCTGATAATTATTCAGAATATACTTATTATTAATCCAGGTATTATTATTAAAACATTGGCTAAAATGCAGTTGAATGACCCATATGTCACTATCAAATCTCCACTTCTCACATTCACATTGACAAAGTTGTTGATTCAGTAGCTGAATTGGTGTTGAATGTCACATACTCTTAATAAAGAGAAGTACAAATCCCCTCAAAAAGTAGAAATATTGGCTCAAAGATGAGGTTGCACTTATAATTTCCAACAGGAGATGTTGATGGCAATCGTAGAATAGCTGTTCGCCAAACACTTACAGACACGTTTTGGCTAACGGGTCATGTCCAGCGGCATCTTTTGCTTTGGTAATCCTCAGGTTCAGAGCAGCAGCTGTCGTATTCGCTGCTGGGAGGAGTGGGAGGGCAGTGGCAAGTGCATGGCTGAGTTTGAGGTGATGTTGGACAGGAGCACTGGTAGGGGACCGTGTCGAGGAAGGGGCTGGTGCAGGGGCTGGGGGAGGGGCAGGCACTCAGGGTGGAGACTGGGCTCGGGATGGGGCTGGAAGGCAGACTAATTTCTTCTTGGAAATCATCAAACAAGTCCTCGTTCTGCTCCGAGGCTTCGGGGCTGCTGCTGAGCGTGAAGACCCAGCCGAGCTGCAGGTGGAGCTGGGAGCGGAGGCCGGGGGGCAGATCCACAGCACCGACGACGTCCGGGCAGTCGGGCAATATTTGGCGGAGCCGGGTGCAGCAAAGGTACTGCAGGGAGGTGGGGGTGTAGCAGGCACGGATCACCTTCATACTGCTTTTAGCTGCCGTGGAGCAAACCATGGGGTAGAACTTCTTGTTCTGCAGCCTTGTGGAAGCAACACCTGTAAAAGAGAAGAAGAACATATCAGGGTGAAAAACAAGGCAGTCATAGCTACATTGAAATGTTCCTGGGTATTATGGCGCTCACTCCTGAATTAGAGAGAAACTCTCACCTATGCAGTGCCGGTTCTTGTAGAAAGTCAGGGTGCCATGCCAGGTGTCGAGGTGCACTCCTATGATGGAGCCCTGGCCAAACCGAGAGGAGAACCTCACTTTGTCCCCTTTGTGCTGGAGGAAACCTTCAAACAATTGTGATAGTAACTAGTATTTAATTTGTATTCTCTGTGGTGTAACAAGTTCTCAGAATTGCTTATAATACAATTATTTTAAAAGCATTGACTTAAATCCTAGGGGAAGTTCAAAGAGGGAATGTCTCTTTGGTGGAAATGCTCACTACTCAAATTTCACAACTCGTATGTAACAACCGGTAACAACAAGGGTCCAATCTGGAACACTTCAAAATACTCAAGTAAAAGCACCTCAACATTGTATTTAAGCACAGAGCTTTCCTGTATTAACCCTCTCACCTGTGTAGGAGAGCCCCCAGCTATCTTCATCATTTCCCAGCAGGCTGCCAAAGCTGAATTTGAACTTCTCCAGGTTCACCTCTGAAGTCCCAATGCCCACCATCTACACAGACAAAATGATCAAAACAGAATCAAACAGGTTGACTAGTTCTATCTCTTCACTAGAAGATGTGAAGAGAGCATCTCCAGGCCACTTATCATATGACTTCCAGAATTTGTAAAATGTTTGCTACCCACCATATCAGTTCCATAGATGGGAGAGGTCATCTTCACTTCCCAGAAGTGTTGTCCCTCTGCGAGCTCCTTGGTGCCGCGGATAGCCGCTGTGCCGCAGCTGTAGTCTGTGTGAAAGCTCACCTTCCTGTTGTCACAGCTGAGGAAGGCTCCGGATGAGTTGAAGCGCTCGTCCCACTCCCAGTCAAAACCTGGGAACAAAAACGTATATATATATATATATATATTAGCTGGATGATTAAGATTTGAACTTTTTACAATCTAACTATTGTATTCAGCCAAGCCTTTAATGCAAATTATTTGTAGACATTTCTTACATAATTTATTCACTTATTTCATTTAAGTTGTAAAATTGTATTCTATTTCATTGTTGTTTTATTCAATACTTTTTAAAAGTTTTTTAAAAAAAATCTATTTCATTGTGCTTTTATTTAATACCTATTTTGTTTTAAAAGTGTATTCTATTTTATACTAAATGTTTCTATTTATTTAGTAGTTTATTCCACACCGATTTACTGCTAAAACAATTATCATGGATTCAAATGGATTTTATTACATTCATATCGTCTATCATGCATTGGTATCAAATAGTTAAATAGTTAAAGTAATTTATAACCGTGTCTTTATATTCCACTAGTGTTCTGTCTTTTTTTGACTTTCCAGTCAGCTGTGAAGTAGGAACATCTCGTGAAATAATCACAAAAAGCAAATAATAGTATTTGTATTTTATACTTAGTGAGAAAAGCCATATCTGCCCAGATTCAACACTACTCTAATAAACAGTATACTCTGCTTTGTTCATTAGTTTAGTACTGTGATTTGCTCACCCTGATCCTCCTCCCCACAGAGGCAGTCAGCGCTGACGCTGAGGCCCAGGCTGAGCTCTTCCTGTCGGTCACACTGGCAGAAAGACTCCCCGATCACCGGTTCTGTACCAGGCAAGGCCACCACCTCAGACATGGCCTGAGAACTCTCCAGGTAATCCACTTCAAGCTCCATGTTGCTGATCTGATTGAGACAAACAGCATCTTGTAAGTCTGAACACATGGCCATGGTCCAGGGCTTGGTAGCGGGAGAAGGAATTAGATCTCTATGAAGAGCGAAATGAGAAGCATGTTTGAAAGACTGAAAAGTATTTTCCCTAAAAGCTGTTCCTATTGGTTACACAAGTCATGTGTGCCTGTAAGTAAAATGAGACCCCCTTCCAAAAATACTAAACTTGCTTTCCTTGCCTTTGAAGAGCTGACTGTCTTACACACAGCCCTTTCAGAGAGGGGACAGTCCCAGTGGAAAACTACTGGCCCTCAGGCTGAAATAGCATCTGTCATAAAGTCACACCAAACTATATATTTAATATCCCCTGGAAAGCGTCTCTCTCTATTCAGTAATATACATAGATTTGATCTCCAACACCTTTAAAATGCAATCTTTTCAGCCCACACTTTGATCCACTTTCTTTTTGTTACACTCTATATTCCCTAATGTCTCACCTGTGTCGTTACCTGGCCTTCCAACCCCCCTCTGTCTGACGTCTGGATCACTGCCATGGCATCTGTTTCTTTCCGTGTTTCACTCCAGGCTGAATGGCGAGCCCGTCCGCTCCTGCTTCTTCTCAGCATGGCAGCTCTGTGGATCTAACAACTCCTCAATCAGCTGCCTTGTGTACAGTAAGCTATGGACCGTGCTGAACTCCTGGTTCCTCGGTTAATTTCCAAATACTTTACACTTCTTTTAGCTGACACTTGTATCCAAAGCAACTTACAATAAGTGCATTCAACCATGAATGCAGACTCTCTGATGTCCTGATATCAATTGGGAGCTCGTTCCACCATTTTGGAGCCAGGATAGCAAACAGGGGTGTATTTGTTTTTTGAGTTCAAATATTGTCTTGACACATGTAGAGTATGTACAGGCTGTGTTTGAAGAACAAAGACAGACATGACTCCCTATTTCGGACTGAATAGCGCATTCGTGGAATAACAGCTTATAGATGGAATCTACAACGAAGAATAATTGTTGTTGTTGACTAGTGTGTTAATGATTTCCTCTACTAAACACTACGTTTTTTGGTATATATAAATTCAGAATATGGTAAAGATGTGTTAATCAGTGTTTCTCAAAGCGTAAGATGACATCCTCAGATGTCTTGATTTGTCCAGAACTCATATTAAGTTGACTGTCTTAAAGAAAGCAGAATAAATTCACGTTAAAAAGCAGGAATCAGAAAATATTTGCTTTTCTTTAAAAAAAATATATCTGTCAAACCCTTTGATCAATTATTCAAATATTTGATGATTAATTTTGACAGCCATCTATTATATTAGATAATTCATCTTTGAATATGCTGAATATGAGTTTGACCGCAACATAAGGGACTAAAGAGATGAAAACATTAGTTCAATTATTTTACATGTTTATGCTGCTGTGGTATTACTCATAAATTGGTGGAATGTGTTTTTCTCTTGTATTTCAATAATCTTTCTTTCAATGTTTCACAAACTAGTGGGACACCTACATTTGAAAGATCAAACATCCTCTCTCAGCTTCCCTCAGTTCAGCAGTTTGTTAACTAACCTTTACTCTCCTTACAGTCGGTGTAAACCTGCATAATATTTAGAAAAGGAAACAGGTCTGGTCCCGTACTGACTGGTGCGCTACAGCTCACCTATTTCTATCCAGCCCATATGCCGCAGTTGGCCGCAGGAAGTGTTTCCACGCACTTGTTTAACCTTTAAACCAAGCCCTCTGTTTTGCCACTGTAGCAGCACGCAGCTACCTTTCTCTGCAGATAGGTCACCTCAACCTTGGGACTACAATGTGTACCAGTCATAAATCAGTGATCACAGATTGTAATATCCTTGTGTTTTCACGGATGCTACAGTATTGACTTTTACAAAATGATGCAGCACTTCAATTAACAATATTAGAGAAGTGTAGATGCAAAGCTAATAGCATTACATTTGGAACTGACTTATATTTACGGATAGAAGAAGACAAATTAAAATGCAGCATAACCTCCACTTTTGAGGAAACCCAAAGTTTGATCCAGCGTGCAACAGAACTAACATCGAAAACTGATTCAATTCCAATGACAAAAACATTATTCTGCCTCTCTCCAGTGTGTATTCATGAAGATAGGTATGGCACATGCATACTTTTTGAGTGATAACTTATAACTTTACCGGTTCATGTTTCCAGATGTATTGAACCCCAAACAACAATGACTGATATGTTTGTAAAATGTTTTTATACCCAGTAATCATAAATGTAATTTCCTCAATTGCAGTGTTTTGGTTTTTCTGAGTAGTATCCTTGTTTACATTACCCACATTTTAATGTATCCTCTTTTATAGGTGCTCATTTTTTATTGTATTACAAAGTATTTTTTTCTATACCATGATAACATTTACACCAAGAGTGTTTTTTTTTAACTAAACGCAGTAGCCAAACCTGATAGCATGTTGCGGTCCATGCCACCACTGAACACAGCAGCTGGTGACTGCTTTGGAAGCAGGTGCAGGAGATAACTGCCATTAATTTAGATTAGTTAGTCTGGAGCTAGTCTCACTTTAATTGGGCTTTACCCTACTTATGCACATGTAATGACATTCCAGAGAAGACAACCCACAGTAGCTTTCAGGGCAAGTGTTTGACTGAGGACAGGGACAAGTTTGCATGTTTCAGATATTAAAATGACTGAAAACCACACCACTGTCCATGTCCTGCCAATACTTCCTGTTCAGACACAGCAATCCACTCCAAATCAGTGCACCAAGAGTATCTCAGATTGAGATTCTCACTGCAAGTCAAGATAATAGCATCTGCTGGATGTTTAAATCAAAGCACAAACTGTTGTTGTATTCTGTACCACTACATCTGATGTTTTGCTGTTATGTATCTTCATCTGAACTCAGATACTAAACAAAGTAAACCACAATACAGCCTGAATACATTTTAGCATTCTTACCTTACAGTAGTCGTCCTATTCACCGTCTTGCAGTGGCTCATGTGAATGCCAGTGTGTTTCTCAGTATGCTACAGTGTGACAGGTGCAATTTACACTCTGTCCCACTTCGCAGCAAGCCAGAAGTAAACATTACTTCTCCACGCCCTCATCGTGTACTTATTGGATAAGAGGGAGGAGTTTATTTACATGTTCTTATCTAACTGTATATTCGCATCCAATGCAAATAGTTCTCACTTTATCACGACATCTAAACATTCTGCTGACAGAAACACTAAAACTCGTTATTCCATATATTGAGAGCTCTTGCAGTGTGAGTAAATGCTCCATGCTGCGCACCAACAGCCCATTGGTGGTGGTGGAAAAGGGGCTGGACTTATCTGTAACAGGGGCTGTGTGATTGGCTAGGTGGCACGGGGTTATACGGAAGTAGTTGAATTCGGTACATGCATCAAATCCAAAACATGGAACAAAATAATGGTAAGTCAAAGTTACCCGTCAACAAAGTTCATCAGAAGGTTACATTCCTATATTTAGGTCGTAACATTGTTCTTTATTGATAGCAGCTGTTATAAACTGCCGACTGTTGTATATTAGTTACGCATTTATAGCTTAGCTAACCGGCTAGCGGGAGCTAATTAGAAATAGGCTTACGTTTGAAAGATTCAGCTCTTTGAGCTGCTAAATAGGAGCTTACCAAAATACTTCTATATCCTCGGAGAAGCTAAACTTAATACAAAAAGTTATTATATAGTTTATAATGTTATGCATATCGAACTCTCACCAACTTTACGTTGAACTTCTGAACTCAGGTGATGAAACGTGCTCCCTTTCATAACTGCGACATAACTTTAGTACTAACTTTACATGTATCTGCTGCGTTCATGACGTAATAAACCTAATTTTCCTTTTCATGTGAGACGGGGGCATGTCCCAGGTCCGGCATGTTGTGTTGGTGCTGTCGGGGAAAGGAGGAGTGGGAAAGAGCACCATCACCACAGAGTTAGCCCTGGCTCTCAGGCATGCTGGCAACAAGGTGAGTTCAAAGACCTGTTGAGTGTATGTGCAGCAGAGTGTCATTTAACACTGTACACGTGGTTGTAATGCATGCAAGAACACATAATAAACTGTCAGTATGTTGCTCCCCATTATTTAATTGCAATGTGACTACCAGTAATAATCAGTTTATACCTGTACGCAATACATAGTTTTAGGGAAAAGTAAGCATAAGTAAATGGACTTACTAATATTACTCTGTGTTCATCAGGTTGGCATCCTGGATATTGACCTCTGTGGCCCCAGTATCCCCCGCATGCTGAATGTGGGACGGACTGACGTGCACCAGTGTGACTCAGGATGGGTGCCGGTCTACACTGATGCAGAGAAGAGCCTCGCCCTCATGTCCATCGGCTTCCTGCTGGAGGACCCAGACGAAGCAGTGGTGTGGAGGGGGCCCAAGAAAACAGGTAAACTATAATCCTATTCTTCTGTGTCTCAAGAAAAAACGTGTGGGGCATGGTTTAAACACGGTTCTAACACCTTCCTCTTCCAATATCCTCTCCTTCTCTGAATGCCCCGTCTCACAGCTTTGATTGGCCAGTTTGTGTCGGATGTAGCGTGGGGAGAGCTGGATGTGCTGCTCATCGACACCCCGCCAGGCACGTCTGACGAGCATTTGGCGGTGTTGGACAACCTTAAAAAACACAGATTGGATGGAGCTGTTTTGGTCACCACACCTCAGGTATATGCAGAGATCTTACAGTCCATAATAGGAGTTAGAAGACCAACTAAAACTGGCAAATGTAACTGTGCAACAACATACAATTATATGGTTTTACATGTCTGTTTAAAAGTCAATTTAAAGAGTAGCGTGAAGGGCACTGTGGCTCACTTGTCTATGTGAGCCAGTTGAGCAGCTTTGTTCAAGATTTATTGAACTATAAACAAGACCCTATGATATCCAATGATGATTGTTCTTCCTGTTATGTGTTGGTTACAGGCAGTTTCTACAGGAGATGTGAGGAGAGAGATCACCTTCTGTAAGAAAACAGGGGTACGGATCCTGGGCATCATTGAGAACATGAGCGGGTTTGTTTGTCCACACTGCTCAGTAAGTAAACCTTTGTACAGTTCAGAAATGAAATATCAATAATTCCTAATGAAGTTGTAGTTACAGTAATGTGCATCAAAGTCAGACAATGAAGGACAGAAAAAACCTCTAGAATAAATTGCTGTATTACCTGTTTTAAATATGTACTCAATTTAGATCTCCCAAGAAATACTTGAATCATTTCGTTTTTTCTGTCATTTTTAACAAATATTCTCTCTTTTCAGGAGTGCAGCAACATATTCTCAAAAGGTGGAGGTGAAGAGTTGGCCAAACTGACCGGGTCAAAATTCCTCGGTGAGTCCAGTGGGGTTGAATCAAATGTAATGCTAGCTTCCAGCCACAGGGTGTCGCACCACACTGTGACATCCCCCTCACCCTCCATTCATGATTTCGAAAGCATTTTACATCACTGTCATGTCTGCTAAAATGGTCGATCGGGATCTCAGATTTTCACAGCAGGTTTAAAAATACCTCAGTGAGGGCTTGATGCATACTCATCAATAGGTCTGGGTCAAATTAATAGATCATTTAATGGTTGCCCTAAGGGATTATCGGCCTTGTATGCAGATCAATCTCTTGAGTAATGATGCAGCTAATTCAGATCACCCTGTGGCAAGCCAGCTGTGTCTGTGCTGCTTTACACAGGGAAGTATTTGATTAGTGAATATCCCTTAACATCCACTTGACTCTCGCTATTTATCATGAATTACTGAATCCCTTGGGAGTGGTACTTTTAAGGCATAACGTCGTGTGGTTAATCAACAGTTATCAACATCATGTTTTGTCCATTTCAGGCTCTGTGCCCTTGGATCCTCTGCTCAGCACCAGCCTAGAGGAGGGCAAAGACTTCATGCAGTTGTTTCCCGACAGTGCCACCTTCAGTGCCATCAGCAGCATCGCTCAGACTCTGCTCAGCAGCCTCCAAACATCTTGAACCAAGATTATATTTGCTCAAAATGGTTTACGTTTGAACAGAGGCTCTGTAAAATGTACATTGTAATACATAAATGTTAGTGATTGTTCGGATGATTTCCATGTTGCATTTTTGTCCTGTACAGTTTAACAATATTAAACTATTTGCTAATTATCTGCTTTTTAACTATTTTCTTAAACCTTTTATACCTAATGTCAGTATCTGCCAAATGTACAGAGCAGGCTTTGTGTGAACTAATGTCAGTGTTAAGTCACATCTGTTGATGTGTTAACCACATTTACAAGTGTAACAGGAAGACATGAAACTAATGATACTACTAAAAGTGCAAGTCATGCTTCCTGTGTAAGTGTCACTGTAGAATATACATGCATTATGCGTTTGAAGCCAGTCACATCTAAGTTGGAATCTTCTTTAATTCGATTGTGACACGTCGACACATCAGGATAACTTCAATATCAGTGGTAATACAGGATTGTAGATTGGCTCTTTAGTTAAAGCGTCAGCAGCAGTTCCACTTTCAGAAAACAAACCCCAGATCAAATTGGACCGGCTCTGAGTGAAACTAGGCCAAACTTTGAACACCCATCTCACTGGGTTCTGCCGCATGCTACAAACACCAAGTCTTTGTGTCATTTAAACTTGATTATTTTTTATAAAACAGGAAGTAGTTTCTTTTATTTTTGATCTGGATTAAATCTTCTGAAACTAGCCTGCTCTTCCGCTTCATATCCAACAGCAACAAAACACTGAAACCCATGCAGGATCTTAATGGCTGGAATGTGGAAGAGATGGAGTTACAGCCACAGATGAGGGAGGTGAATAAGATGGAGATGACATTTGGAAATTACACATTGTGAGACCCATCACGGGGCACACACACCTTTAATGCAAACAGCAGTACTACAGGAAAACACTGACGTTTGAGAATGTTTGCGTAATGATTAGAATACAGCTACACAGAAAACCCCAACATACTAAAGGCAATCTTAATTATTAAACCATGAGTTACATCCAGAAGGAATTCCAACCACTTATCACAATTAACCCAGAGTGCATTAAATCTATGTAGATATTTATATATGTCTGTATATATGTATAATATCTCCTGGGGAATTAAAGACTTTTGCTGCATTAAACAGTTCAATGAACAATTTCTTATAAATAAAATCAGTTGAAAAATTTTTTCGTAAGTCCATATACATTTCTCTTTACAAATAGATCCTCAAGATTAATGCAGAAATTGTGTCAACTCCCAGGTGTGTGGGGAGGAGGAGAAGCTGTGCGGCCTGTGGTCAGCTCTCTGAGACCAGACAAGCTGCCTTGGCTTGTCTCAAGGCCTGAAATAAGTGGAGGGAAAAAAGGAATCTTCATCATACAGTTTTGAAACACACACACACACTCACACACAACAGACGAATCACTACATTGCGCATTTACAAGTTGACTATCAAATTGGGACAACTGTACACATTGTTGAGATAAGACCATATTTATGGAGCCATTTTAATTCATTTTTTCCCCGCCTTCACTTCTTTCATCTCGAGCGGCAGACTTTTTTACAATTTTTTCCCCCATTTTACACTTATTCTCCAACAGCAACATAAAGGACAGATCTTTGTAGTAGAGATGTTTGGGTTGTTTATTTCGTGGAGAGGATCAGGGCGACGATGAGACCGTAGAGACCCAAGACCTCTGCGAAAATCAAGATGAGGATCATGCCCACGAAGAGCCTCGGCTGCTGAGCTGTTCCCCTCACGCCCGCGTCGCCCACGATGCCGATTGCGAAGCCTGCTGCCAGCCCGCTGAGGCCCACGCTCAGCCCCGCGCCCAGGTGGAGGAAACTCCTGAACACACAGAAAAGAGTCAGTCAGCATGAGGGACGTTGGTGATCTGAGATAACACTTGGAGCGATTGAAGACATTTTGACTCAGAGCCTGATATGCATTCTTGGAGCAAAAGGCAGTACAGAAAACACTGTTTAGTTGATAAGGTGTTAAAGGTTCGTGTTAGGTAGAAAATAATGCGTCTGCTGCTGAAATAATCGAACCCAACAGGCTTTTCTTGTTTTACTGTTCCTACCTTGCAAGTTTTTAAAATGATCAAACAAACAAAAAAGCCTGTGAAGAATAAATACATCAATCTTTCTCCAAAATATGAAAATGAGAGCACAGACAACTCATTGTAGATTTGCTCAAATATTTATAAAATAAATACAATTTAAAGGATTAAGCTGGAGTTATTGTCTTTTTAAAATCATGCCATATTTTACTTTCCATATCATGAAAAGGATAAATGTCAAAAATATAGCACGTTTATGGATTTCAATGAAAATATATCATCAAATCTATATTAAATAACCCCATGGTAACCCCTATGTTTTGACTGCAGTGTGAAGAGTTGTACGGCTGCATTGGGAGGAACTGTTTCAATTGTAGTCATACTTGTTTAATACCCTGGCTGTGTAAGAATGTTATTGGTGCAACAATTTGGCTTGTATGCATCAAATATGAATAATATGTAGAGCTATAATACAATGTTAGGATCAGTGTTATATTTGACTGTTTATGACAAGAAGCAGAGCCACATCAGTATTGCCTTATAGACTTAATGAGACCTTCCTAGTATATTTTGCCTTAGAATGAAACAAATGTATTTTTGACATCTCCCAAATAATGGAGAAATGGAGACAACACAAAGTATGACTGTTCAGCTGCACTCACTTGTAGAGGGTGACCTTCTCTGAGATGTTGTTGGCAATCAGCACCGCCACTACCAGGCCGTAGATGGCTATGATACCCGCCATGACCACTGGGATGATGGACTTCATGATGAGCTCCGGCCTCATCACGGACATGGCGGCGATGCCTGTCCCACTCTTGGCTGTTCCATAGGCTGCTCCCAGGGCTGGACGGGAAGAGAGGGGGGGAAATGATTTTAGCTAAACAAACAAGATGGCGCACACTCCAAAGCAAGTGACTAAAGGTTAGTGTATGGATGACGGCAACCAGAGGGAACAGCTGAATATTAAAACAGAAGTGAAATCAGAAATGGATAAGCATTATGAAAATCTTTTAGTTTCTGTTCCCCTTAAAAATCCAACATGGCTCCATGAGGGGAATTTTTACAATTGTTTTAAAACGGGAAATAACCAATCACTGTCGCAGAAATATGAAACTGAACATCTGCTTTTCGTCTCATCTCCTCGTGCTTCAGCTCTTGTAATTTCGGAATGGACCCTGACACACTGCTGCAGAGTCGTAAATCACTCTCTGAATGAAAAGGCTGAGGGAATTGCTGCCATTATAAGAGAAGCAGGATGCCTCATCCCCAGAGAGAGAGCATCAGTACAGGAGAGGAAACCAGCAGGACACACACTGACATCTGCAGTGTGGCGTCTCCAGTCCACACTCTGGCAAACATCACTGTATTGTATCGGGGAGGGGGGGAGAACAAAAAGCTCCATCAGCAAATTATCTACGTCAGACTGTGACTGAGGAGGAAGCATTTACGTCACAACTGGGGCTGACTGCAGAAAATCAATAATCTTTTAAATCAAATGAGAAATATATAGAACCGCAAGCACCCAATACAAACAAAGAAGAATGAAAAAGCTTCCAGGTGAGAGAAGTCAGTCAATTGAATTTGCATATATCACAGATTTGTCTCTATCCTTAGCTTCAATAAGGATTAGAAAAACAAATCTTAGAAATAAAGCAACAGAAGGCCAGGAGGGACGGACAATGAATGTGAATCTAACAAAGCCTGTCGGAGCAGGGCAGTGTCAGAGACAGGCTGGTTGGACAAGATTTCCCACGTCACACAGGAGAGTGTGTGTGTGTGTGTGTGTGTCCTCATACACAGCAGAAGCAAGATAAACAGCACTGACCAGCTGTGTTCGACATATTTCCATGTAATTATTGCGAAACATGTTTGTAATCTTTATTGATGCCCTCTGTGGGTTCTCTTGACTCAACAAAACAAGCCAGTTGTTGCCTGAATGCAATTAGCAAACAGATGTCAAAATGGCTGCCAGTAAATATGATGTGACTTGGTAAAACATCAACTATGGTGCAATGCTATATCATGAAGTAAGCAAACATGCTTTATTATTGTGCTAACCTTGTTATAATGTTGGTGTACAACAAGGACCTGGCAAAGTAATGGTTTTTCCATTTCCAACACACTGATGATGACATATGAAAAGGCTCTGGAGATATAATCTTGGACAGCCTTGTAATGTGCCCGGCTCTCTGTTAAATTATTTTCTTAAGTCGGTGTTGAGCAAGCATGGAGATAGTTTGGTTAACTCGGAGACTAGCTGCGAGGCTTTCTGGCAAATGGATTTAGAAAGGCAGACGGGAAGATGACGCTTGACAATCTTCAAATGAGCACATAGCAGCCGGCCACTGCCTCGACACATCACCAGAATGATGCTGTCGATACAAGGTTAAATCACTCATGGCCGTCTATATAGATTTGTCTGATTATAACTGGACACTGTTGTTGCAAGCAGTCAGAGAAACACAAGAAATATTTGGATTTCTGGCCAAAGTCTCTTGCTGGTGGACTAGGTTTTCTAACTAACGCCATCACAAATGATATAGCACATCACATCAAACAAAGGACACAAGCCAAGCTCCACATTTCAAATGTAAAAGCTGACCAAGATAGAAGATCCCATTTTCTAAATAAGCCATATCAAAAGATCTATAGAACAATGTTCCAAAAAAGGCCTAAACCATCCTCTGAACAGCTGATTCTCTTAGTTATTCAACCATCAACTACCGGCGTAACACGTTACCGTCTGTAACGTTATCCCCCGACTCCACTCTTTCTCTGTAAGCTTGGCGTCACTGAGGTGTGACCGGTGAGGGTTGGTAGAGAAACACCGGAGACCTCAAACACTGCCATTCTGTCCTGATGATTAAAGGTTTGCTGGGTGGCAGGAGCAGCTTCGGCATCGATGTGGAGGCACAACCACTGGGTTTTAATCCTAATCCCTTCAGTTTAGGTGAGAGCTTTTTCCCACATTTTCTTTTTTCCTCCCTGCAGAATATTTCACGTATGGGATGCCTCGTGACGTCTTGTGATGTCAGAGCAGGAGGTGCCTCACAGCTAGGGATGATCTTGCATGCAATGTGCCCACGCAAAAG